ATGGAGGAGGCTTGAGGACAATATGCATTAAGTGATAGCATAATACAAATACATGATACAGTCACAGAAAGACAAATACTGTATGATTTCATTTAAACGAGGTCTCTAAAGTAGTCAAATTCATAGAAACAGAAAGTAGAATGGTAGTTACCAGGAACTAGGGGGAGGGACAAAAGGGGATTTGTTGTTAAATGGGTGTAGAATTTCAGATTTACAACATGAAAAAGTTCTAGAGGTCTATTGTATAACAGTGTGAATATACTTAACACTATTGAGCTGTACACTTAAAAATGGTTAAGATGATAAATTTTATGTTATGTATTTTCATAATTTAAAAAATGTTAAAAAAAAAAAAGTCAGTGATTTCAGATTGTTGTTTCACTAACCTAGAACTTCCTAAGTAAAGTAACTAAAATAAATAGAATTATGTAAACTTTCAGAAAATGATTCTAAGGTCACTGATTTATAGTTTAAAATTGAAATTCATCTTACTCAGTATAGGGACACAAATACATTCAACTCTGATGTAGAGTCACTATGTTTTTACCTGAAAGAGGCTAATGCAGAGAAACTGTGGTGTTTGAGCTCTTTAAAATTGTAAAAATATTGTTTTCTATGTCCTTTTTTCCCAGAGTTTCTTTCTTTTTCTTAAATTTTCTGTTTTTCCCTGAGTTTAAAACACATTCTCCTTCTTTCCGAAAAGATTATTCTAGAAACAATGTATGCCCAATATAAAAAATAAAACCAATCAACAGAGAACTGTCTGAAATAAAAAGAGAAATCTTCCTGTGGCGCCTTCTACCATCCCCTTCCCTTCCTACCACTAATCCATACCTTAGAGGTAACCACTAATGTTCTATTCCTTTCCAGCTATCTTCTATTCCTACCATTCAGGAAATTATATTCTAATCTTTCGACATCAGATTCACCTGATAAAGGCCTAGGAATAATGATGTTTTAGTACCGTGTCAGCAATAGGGCTATGAATAGTCAGAGAGTATCTTCATTTGGTCAGTAAGCAGTTGTTTATTCTTTGTTCTGTCCAGCCTGAGCTAAGTGTGCATGGAGAGGCCAAAGAAATAAAAGCTACGGTTCTTGCTCTCAAAGAGCTTACAGTATAGCTGGGGAACTAGCACACATGAGGAAAAAGTGAACTATGTCAAAAAGTGTATAAATAAGTCTGTAAATGATGTAATTCATTAAAGTAGACTGTATAATTAATAATCACGTGTTAATTCAATTTCTCTTTAATTGTAAATTTTGCTAATTCCTATTCATAAAAAATAGACCGATGTGTCAGTTAGAAGGTTTCTTAAAAAATGTTTTCTTTTTCAGATTCTCTTGGAATGCTTTCTTACACCACGTCAGGACTTTATACATCTCTGATATACAAGAATATGACAACCCCAGTGTATACAACTTTGAAGGGGGTAACTCATTATTGGTACTTTTAAACATATGGTTCTCTTCATGATGGAAAACTGTTTATTCAAGCTCCAGATTCCATTCTTAACATTTTACAGACTCCCCCTTTATAGAGGGTTTTAGAAGTTCACATTAATGTGTCATGAAAAAGAAGAAATGGAAAGGTCTGGAAAAATTTTTTTTTTTTTTATCAGAGTATTTGAGGTCTGAGTCTATTTTTGTTGTGTCCTATGTGATCCTCCTCCCACCCCCATGTCTGTTAATTGTTTAAAGGAAACGTATTATTAATGATGTAATGAAACTCCTAATTTACAAAGATGTTTGTGTCAGTGCCAGGGTCCCCTTTCCTTGCTTGAAGTACCTAATTAAAATAAGGATTGTCAGGTATTTCCAACTTCATGTTTTCAGGAATCTATTAGAATTGACAAATGCCTTGCTAATTAAAATTTGAGGTTTAACAACATGACTTTGATAATGGCAAAATATATTCTTGTATTGCTTTAAAAAAAAATCATATTCCATGACTTCTTCTTGTAGAACATTCTGTGTCTAAAGAGAGAGGTAACGTTAGAGATGGATACAGGGAGGCTGTTCTGCTTTCCTTTAGAAGGCGACCCAAATAAGTAGCAGTCCTTTCCTGGGTGACTCCTCTGGCTCAGAGGAAGAAGACAGCTCGAGGTCCAGCTCCCGGACGTCAGAGTCAGACACACGCAGTAGGTGTGGGCCGGGCAGCCCCAGAGCCATGAAACGAGGTGAGGGAAAAATCTCAGGCATTCAAGACAGCTCCAGATCATCAGAATACTTCTTAGGAATTTGATACCCGTAATAGGACTTTTTAAAAAGAATAGATAATAAAATGATTGTTTCAAACCATGGTGAAAAGAGCATTAGCCTAGGACTGAGACTTTTATATTCTAGTCCTCATTCTCTTTTTAATTCTCTGACAAACCACATAGTCGTCATCATTGTCGTCATTGTCATTGTTGTCATCTTTTTTTTTTTTCCAGCTTAATTTTGTCTGTAAGAGAGAGACCACTTTATTGTGCGAAGAAAGTGAGATATTTAGCCAAAATGAGGTTGCTCTTTTATAGTAACTATGTGGCATTTTTGGATAGTTTGTGGGATCGACCAATTTCAGCTGAATTTGTTACACTACTAAATGACAGAAAATATACCTGAAATTTGTTGGTTAATCTGATATTAAAGTAGAAAACAACCAACACTTTGCTTTGGGCACGTCTGTGATTTGTAGGGGTTTTGAAGAAATTTGTACATAGAGGTTATAGAGATCTAATCCCACAAAATGACATCTGTATTTTATAAAAAGCCTTTAATGAAGCATTTTATATCGGTTGGTTTCAAACTGTGTTCCATGGAACATCTCAGCTTCAACTGGAGCTACTCAGCTTTCAACAATTTAACATTTTAGGGCTCAGCTGGTCTCCTTGCTCTCACCTTGCTCAGCTACAGCCAGGATCAGGTTATGTCACACTTTTGCTCTGCAGAAGTGCAATGGCTCGAATGTCTTTGACCTCATCTGCTTTCTCCTCTCTTGTAGGTTCTGGCTTCACTGGCCTTCTTGCTGTTCCTGGAACACGCCAGGCATGCTTTTATTTCAGGACCGTTGCACTGTTGTTTCCTCCACCTGGTTTTCTTCCCCCCAAGTGTCTGTATAGCTCATTTCCTCACCTCCTTCAATACTTTGTTCAAATTGCAGTATTTTGCCCTACTGTTGCTGATTCTTCCTATTCCCTGTAGTCTGCTCTCCATTTTATTTTTCCATAGCATTTACCCCCTGTCTGTCAATCTGTCTCCCTCCACTAGAATGTGTGTTCCATGAGGGCTCAAATTTCTCTGTTTTGTTGTCTGCTCTATCTCTAGCACACAGGACAGTGCCTGGCACACTGGTCCTGGGGCTGGGAGCCCGAGATTTGCAGGCCAACATTGCCCCACCAGATCCTTTCATCTCTGGGTCTTAGTCTCCTTAGAGAATGAGGATATTAGCCAGGATGATCTCTGATGTCCCTTATAGATCTAAATTTGTTATTCTATGAAAAATAAAGATATTAGCACAACTGTTATTTGTCCAAGTCAAGTAAAGAATAGTGTCACAGGAGTGACATTGTCCTAATACATCTTTAAATGTTAATAAACGCTTTCAAAAATTGCTGGATACTGTAATGAATATGTCCTAAGTCCTTGATTTTATTTAATATATTCAAAATCTCCAATTATAGTGATCCTCCAATTGTGCTTACAACTCACAAGTAGTTTTTTATAAAGGCAAGTGAATTATTATGAAAATGTTCCACTGAATTTTACTTCGTAGCTGCTGGCAAATGAAGTAGTGTGTTTATATCTTTAAATCTTATTGCTTGCTTCTCTTTTATGAAAGATTTTTAAAATGTGTAAACTATTTAGTAGTTTATTGGACTTACATGAAAAAATACTACTGAAGTCTTTTTTTTTTTAATGAGAAGGTACTTTAAAAGTGATTACAGAAATTAAGTGGTTGAAACTTTGTGAAAATCTTGATAAATTAAGGTTCGGCATTTGTTTGCCTATACATCAATATGTAAACATACATATTTTAAGTTTTTAATAGAAGATACATTAGTAGACTAATGCATATATTTTATATATGTAAAAATAGATGTGGTTGTAATTATACCAAAATATTATTTATGTTTCTTTGACTTCTTTGGAGATTTGCATGACAGTCCCTACCCCTTAGTTCTGTTTTCTGCTTTAAAAGTTTTTCATGGCCAAAGGCATGAGAATACATCCAGTCTAGGGAGGCTTATGATTTAGGAAGAGGTGCATTTCATAGGAGAACTCACAGACAGCATTTGGACCACCCCAGTATTAAGTATTGACTTGGTTTATTTCTTTGTTCTTTTAGGTGTGTCTCTCTCCTCCGTGGCTTCTGAAAGTGATTACGCTATTCCTCCTGATGCTTATTCCACAGAAACAGAGTACTCACAGCCAGAGCACAAGCTTCCTAAAACTTGCTCATCTTCCAGTGATAATGGGAAAAATGTAAACAGTGAATCAGATTTTTTAAAAATTAATGAATCAAATAGTTTGAGCCTCCAAAAGGAAACTTAAAAGGTTTTTAATAAATCTTTTTTTTTATTAGGAACCACTGGAAAAATCCGGCTACTTGTTAAAAATGAGTGGTAAAGTTAAGACGTGGAAGCGGAGGTGGTTTGTTCTTAAAGGTGGTGAATTACTTTACTACAAATCTCCAGTGAGTAAAAGTGCTTGCTATTTAGAACTGAATTTCTCAAACTATACATCAAATTCCTGATTGATTGTTTTCCCTATAATGCAATTAATGATACAAAGGATTTTTTATTGTTACTATTACAGTTAATCACTTTACATTTAGTTTTCTTCTTTTCCTACAGAGTGATGTAATTAGAAAACCCCAGGGTCATATTGAACTTAGTGCATCCTGCAGTATTTTAAGAGGAGACAACAAACAAACAGTTCAGGTACTTATTTTTTTACTTTTTTTTTTTTTGTATTATGCAAAACTCAATTCTCAATTATCTAAGCCAGTGGAAGGGTGAGTTTTAAGAGGAGACAACAAACAAACAGTTCAGGTACTTATTTTTTTACTTTTTTTTTTTTTTTTGTATTATGCAAAACTCAATTCTCAATTATCTAAGCCAGTGGAAGGGTGATTGGATGATTCAATGTTTCTTTATTCATTTTGGGGTCAGTTTAATGCCACAAGACTTTTTAGTTCAAAATATTATAAGCTAAGTTGTGTTAAGTAACTCCCACTATACTTTCCTTACCTTTTCTTGCTTTACATTCTTCTTTCCCCATATTTAAGGTATTTTCAGCTCTCAAACTGTTAAGCTATTTCAGGGAAGGATCCTATGATAAATGAATTCCTAATACGATGTTAGTAATATAATGTAGTATTAAATTCAGAAGGGTTTTTATTTTAATATAGAATTGGAAAGCAACAGTTCTTATATGAACTTCAGATGCTATAACACATAAGTGGGAAAGGTATTGGTGAGCAGAGGGGCTGTCCCGCCAGGTCACACCATACAGGTATCTGCTGCTCATTTTACCCACACAAAGGCTGGTCTTGCCAGAAACCTATTAAACTTAGAATACAGACTTTTAGGTAGTCTATTATATGTAATTTAAATTCAGATACTTTATTTCTGAAATGCTTTCAATAACCATTATTTTCTTATCTTGCTCCTTTGGAGAGTGGAAGACACCAATTGCCAGAAAGGTACATTATCAGTGTTTCCAGCGGATTTTACCTGAGAACTCCTAAAAATTTAGAAAGGAGAATCAGGGAAAGCCTTGTCTTAGAATATGGCACTTAAGAATCATTTGTAAGCTTATGAAATATTTGGAAAATTTACAATGTGGTTAATTTGAGACTGGAAAATGTGAGTTCATAATATCTGATCACATGTTAGTTCCAAGAATTTCTCTTCTTATGTGCAAGATCTTTTCTCATTTTATTTATAGTTGATTTCTTCATTTCTATATATTAAAAAAAAAACTCCTCTCATATTGCTAAAAATGTGTTATTTTATTATCGTTTCCAGTCATTCTGCTTCTCATTTCAACGAGGAGCCTGTAGCGCATTTAAGAAAAAAAGTAAAAGGTGACAAGTAAATAAAGATATAAAATCTTGAACCAAAAATTTAATATTGTGAAAAGTTTTAAAGTAAACTGAAGTGAAAACAATAATTTAAACAAAAATTCAATTATTGTAATTCTCACAAAGTGGTTAAAATATTCTAAACTGTTGTGGAATCATTTATTTAGAACTTAGGGTTCAAAGTTTAGCGTGTTTGTTTCCATGTTAATTAATAATGTTTGAAGAATAGATGAGGAAATGCTAATAATCCTAAATCTTCACAATTTCCTTTCCTATGCCTTTCTTATCCCATTTTAGTTGACCACTGAAAAACACACATACTATCTGACTGCAGATTCTCCCAACATATTGGAAGAATGGATTAAAGTGTTACAGAATGTTCTTCGAGTACAAGCTGCCAACCCGCTTTTCCTGCAGCCTGAGGGCAAACCAGCTGTGAAGGGATTGCTCACTAAGGTAGGGACCTTGTGTGCATGGCATTGTTTCAGGCAACTACATGAATGAGCCCTACTGATTATGAACAGTGGGTGTCAAAGAATATGTAGATTGAATATTAATATTATCTTGAGGTGGGGAAGTGTGTTTTAAGTATGATGTCCAAAACAAAAACCATACAGCTGGAAAGACAAATTTGACTACAACATATAAAAATGTAAGTGCAATATCAAAAATTCTATAAACAGAGTTTTAACAAGGCAGATGAAAAACTTTGAAAAGGTAGTTGAAATGTGTGAAACCAGTTATATACTTAATATTTAACAAGCTTTTTCTAATCAGTAAGTAAAGTGTGAATACCAATGGGGGAAAAGGAACAAAAGATACAGTGGGAAAGAAGTAGAGATAAGAAGAAATACAAATGATCAATGAGCATATGGAAAAACATTTGACCGTCACTAATATTTTTTTTAAAAGCACAAATTGAAATAATAGGTATTGTAATAATAGATACAGATTAAGAACTTTGCTAGTGAGAATATTATTCTGGAAAGCAATTTGGCCAAAGTGTTAACTCATTAAATATTTCTGAACAAACAAATGAATAAATGAATATCAAATATTTTAAAAACATATATACATATTCTTTGATCCAGCAATCTAAGTTTGAGAAATTTATCCTTATGAAATGGTCTTAATTTGTAAAAGATTTAAATATAAGGCTATCCATCATAGCATTTTTCCCCCTATTTTTTAAATGAAGTATAATGAAAATACTCTGAAATGCACAGACTGTAAGTGTAGAGTTTGATGAGTTTCGAAAGATATCTACTGTTACTCTGTTAAGATATAGAGCATTTTCATTACCCCAGAAATATTGCTTGCACAGCATGGTTCATAACAAAGAAAAATTGGAATCAACTTAGACGTAGGGTAGGGAATAGTTTATACAGTCATATGGTACTTTTCTACGCAGCCTTTTAAATGTTGTAAAAGAATATAATAATGCTATAGAAATATGGTATGACGCATTGTTAGGTGATAAGTAGATTGCAGTATTCACATTATTATCCCATTTTTGTTATACATATTCATAGAAAAATGTCTGAATGGGAAATATGCCAAAGTATATTGGTTATCTCTGTGTGATTTTATTTTATTTTATTTATCCATTTATTTGGCATCTGGTTGGTTCAGGGATCAAGACCCTTGACCTTGATGTTATAACACCATGCTCTAACCAACTGAGCTAACTAGCCAGCCAATTTTATTTATTTACTTTGATTAATTCTGTTTTCTAACTTTTTTTAGAATGAATAAGTATTGACTTATACTTAATATTTTAAAATTTTTAAAAGTCCCACAAGGCTGTGGTGGGATTTGTTATGGAGAATGGTGCAGGATCATGGGAGCTTATGTTTTATGTGATGACAAAGGCTGGTTGGGATATGATATATTGCTTGTCTTCAAAGTTTCAAACAGAACTGATATGAAATACCTTTGTTATGGATACAAAGTAAAAAAAAAATATTCTTTCAGTAACTCGGTTTGCTGAAGCCTTGAGATTTGAGGTTGCCTTTAATCTTCATGAGGATTCTTCCAGTATAATTTTTTGTATTATAATTTTTTTCAGAATAAGTCAGAGTTTTAAGAAATCCTAATAAATAAGAATTACAGATATAGATAAACTATATTTTAAAAACACATCTTTTTCTGTGAGTTGGCAAAGGTCCTAGTTAATTTGCAGTTCTCCAAAGGTACACATTGTTCTATTTTAAAGATAAATCATTTCAAAAGTACACTGTCTGTAGCCAGATGCATTATACTCCAGTTTTTATGAGACTTCTTTCTGGAGTTTGTTTAAAGAAGAAAAAGAACCTGCATAACACTAACTTTTCAAAGCTTCCAGGATATTTGTCTATAAATATATGTTTCCAAATTTAATTAAACTGAAACATGTCTTGCCAAATGAAACATTTTTGTTTTTTCTCAAGCAACATTCTAAATCCATCTAACTGTTGGGTGGTAGAGTTATTTGTTTGCTTAGACCACAGTTTTGAAAGCCCAAAGTCTGGCTGGATTTGTGGGCTTAAAGAAGATGTGTGTTTTACTTCTTATTCAGAGTGGGGAAGGAAGCATTTACTGAGTAACTACTATTATCCTTTATTTACATTTTCTCATTTGGTAATCACAGCCACCCACGGAGGTGTACAATAATCCCATGTTATTGACAAAGGAGCTAAGAGGAACTGAGGACATCCATCCAGCGCATCTAGAAATGGAATTTAAGCCTTGGTCCATTAGACCTCAAAGTCCAGAACTTTTCTACTACAGTGACTTGCCTACTATAAAACATATATGGCAGTAATTTGTCTTCTTCCCAATGTGTTCTATCAGAATAGTCCATTTAACATAAGTCATTACAAGGGCTTACAGGACCCTGAAAGTCTTCATCCCACCTACCCCATTCCCTGCCCCTTCCCCAATAATCTCTTCCCTCACTCTTTCAGCCCCAGACTCACAGGCCTCCTTGTGCTCCTCAGACACACCGGGTGCACCCCATCTCAGGGCCTGGCTGCTTGCCCTTCCTTTACCCAAGGAGTCATCTTCTCTCAGATGACTACATAGCTCATCTCCCTTTTTCAGAGATTTAATGTCAGTGAGACCCTCCAGACCACCTTATTTTAAATTACCCCTCCCCCTTACCTAAGCACTTATCCTTTGCTGCTTAATTTTTCTCCTTAATTCTTATTACCATGAGCAAGCATGATAACAGAATTTGGGGCATTAGTTGTACTGGCCAGTGTCTTGGTTTCCAGCTGGTGAGCCTCTCCAGAGTGAACTCATTCTAAGTATTGCAGGAGAAGGGCTAGCCTCAAGGCAGAAGTTGGCAGAGTTAGGTTGGCGGGATTGTTGCTATGTGACTGGGATTATAGGACAACCTCCACAAAGCACACCACATTCTAGGTCTGGGACAATAGAGTTTATTTTAAATCTTACCCATGGGTGGGAATGAGGTTCTTTGTGTTTTTCTAGACTTGAGGATGTAGCTGGGACTGTCTGGTAAGATCTTTAATGCCTGTAGCTGGGCATGACTGGGGCAGGGAAGAACTCACAGTAAGAATCTTCATAAAGCCACCAAATGATGATAAACCTACAATACTCAATAAAAACTTTGGTAAAATGTCTTCCATAAAAATGTATATAAATAAAGGGCTGACCGGTTAGCTCAATAGGTTAGCACAGCATTATTACACCAAGGTCATGGGTTTGGATCACTGTACTGGCCAGTTCCTCTCTGCCACCCTCCCTCCAAAACAAAAGTACATAGAAATGATGTGTTCTTGATGAAGGTATATAGTGTAGTGCTGATTTGTCATCTTCCTCATAAGGCTGTGAGCCCTTTGAGGAAGGATATTATACCTTATTCTTATCAGTTTCCCCAGGATCTAGCCCAATCTCTGATTATCCACACTCAAGAGCTAGATTCAAATTCTGATCCAGTCACTTAACATAGTGCCTGACATATGAAAGGTACTCAACATATATGTATTAGTCCATTTTGTGTTGCTATAACAGAAATACCTGAGACTGGGTAATTTATAAAGAACAGAGGTTTGTTTGGCTCACAATTCTGGGACAGCTGCATCTGGCATGGGCCTCAGGCTGCTTCTACTCATGGCGGAAAGTGGAAGGCAGCTGGCGGGTACAAGCTGATCATATGGCGAGAGGAAGCAAGAGAGAGAGAGGAGGTGCCAGGGTCTTTTAAGCAACCAGCTCTCGTGGGAACTAACCAAGTGAGAACTCACTCACTATCCCTCTTCCCCCAGGGAGAGCATTAATCCATTCATGAGGGATCCGCCCCTGTGACTCAAACAGCTTCCAGCACTGCCACATTGGGGATCAGATTTCCACATGAGTTTGGGGGGGACAATACATCCAAACTCTATCAGTATAGTAATAGCTTTTAATGGTATTTTACTATTTTTTTTTTCCTTTTTGTCTTTTTTCGTGTCCGGCAACGGATCGCAACCCTCAGTGTCGCGCCCGTACCGGACCGGGACCAGCAACGGGATCGCAACCCTCGGTGTTGCTCCCACACCTCGCTCAGCCAGTGAGCGGGAACCGGTCCGTATGTGGGATCCGAACCCTCGGCGGGAGCGCCACCACACTCCCAAGCGGTGCACTGTAGCAGTGCGCCACCGGGCTGGCCCAGTATTTTACTATTTTGTGTGATTACTTCTGTAGGAGGTGTCAGATATTTTGAATGAACAAATCTTTTACATTTGGGAAATCACTAGAATTCTTTAGGTTTTAATATTTTCACTTCTAACATGAGGGTGTTAACTCAGAAAGCCACAGGGTTATTGGAGTTCTATGAAATATGGAAATTATCAAATATACTTACTTGTGGAATTGGCACTGTGTTTTATCCATCTTTGAATCCTCAGTCCTGGGCATAGTACTTGATACATAGTAAATTAAACATTCCTTAAGTGTTGAATGGTGAGCACCAAAGCAAAACATGCCATGCTACTACTGTAACAGGTGAACCTTAAACAGCATTGACAGTCTAGGTGGACTATCACTTATATCTTGGGCAAACTGGATACCTATAGAACCTGAAATAGAGTGTATAAGCTATACTTTAAGGTGTTAGAGTTCTGAGCTACATTTGTAATTTGTTGAAATATGATTTCAGGTAAAACATGGCTATTCCAAGAGAGTCTGGTGTACACTTATAGGGAAGACATTATATTATTTTCGTAGTCAAGAAGATAAGGTATGTATGTGTTTTTAATATGCTGATTAGAGGAATTTTTTGTCTGTTATGGCTTAAAATTTTTTCTTTAACTCTTCTGTTGCTAGGTAAAACCTTAGAATTTTTGATAAGGTCAAAATGTGGTATAAAATCTATTACTGAAGTAATCATTTATCACCTACAAGGGTCTTGATTCTTAATTATAAGCCTTAGCAACTTTTAATTAATGTATCTTCTAAGACCTAGAAGAGAAATGCCTTTTACTCCACCCCCGACTATCAATTTCTCACATTTTCCCACGTTCTGACAGACTAGATAAGGTTTGAGTGAAGGGAACAGCAAGCTAGGAAAGAAGATATGGGGAGAAAAAAGAATCCAGAACTGTCCCAGGCCCTCAAATTCCTGGATACCACTTATCTATCCATCCATCTGCCTATTTATATCCTGGTTTTATATCCTTCATTTTTAAACTAATCTCCTCAGAAGAACTGGAGTTATCTTCACTTTCAGAGTAAAAAGACAGGATATCTATCAAAGGTGAAATGTATGCTCGGCCATCATATGGGTACTTCGTGTCACCCTTATGTTACTGAAACTATAAAAATTGAGCCAACATGGGCCAGGAGTACTCGCCTAAAATAATGATGTCAGCTCCACAGAATAGCAGCCTGCGACTGATTGCTGTGTTAATGAGACTAAACTTCTGGTCCACTGACCATGTGGGTCAGCATTTCTCTGTTCCCTTCTCACAGACTGCACTCTAAGGTCTGACCAGTTGTATTTAAAATGCATGCCATTCTCAGTATTGCTGATGGGATGGGGGTTAACACAGTGCAGCCATTGAAAGTGATACCTCTGAAGGAATGTGGGAAAATGCTCACACGTACGTGTTACCTGAATAAGCACAATACAAAATTGTATATTAAGTATAATTTTAACTAACTTATAGTTAAATTAGGAAAACAGAAGCCACTCTACATATTCTGGGTATTAAAGTTTTAGTATAGAATTAGGGACATACATAACTTCTAGAAAAGTTGAAGAACAGAGATCAAGGAAACTGCCACTCGGGGTCAGAGAAATCAACATTTAAGATTTCAGCCCAAGAACTGAGGCAGATGGTCCTCAAGACTTCAGTGGAAAGCCTCTGTGAATCTCACACCAGCCCAGGCATCTGGCTGCAACTGTCTCAGGGGAATGATGACTTCTCTTTCACCCTCTCTTGCCAGATCTCATGCAGATTCTGTCATAGGCAAACTCTAACTTGGAACCATACAGGGAAGAAGATTCTGGCAAATATCGTTCCCAACTTCTCTCCTGCAATTACTGGGAAACCATAGGAGAGAGTGGCTGGGATACTGAGTTTATAATTCTCCGTCTGGCACATCTAAGTAAAAGTATGCATAGTGTATCAAAAAGAACTATACCAAAATGTTGAGTGATTATCTGTGAGGATAGTATTATGGATAATTTTCTACTTTTTAAAAAAATACCTTTCTATACTTACCAATTTTCTATAATAAGCATGTATTGTTTTTATAAATAGAAAAATAATTTAATAAAAATAGATAGCATTGGTTACAAAAGAAACAAGCCCGAAGAATGCAGATAAGTGAACAGAAATCAATTATAATTATTAAAAAAGTATGATGCATATGAATCAGTATAGGCCTACTTCATTTTGTGCTATAGATGTTTCGAAAGCAATTTGTTTCTAATCTGGATCAGTGTCTTTTTTTGTTAAATCAAAACACTTAAAAGGACTAGGTCTGTTTGTTATTTGTGGAGCTATGGTGAATCCTTTGCTAAAATGAATAGACATCTTCAATATTGAGGTAGATAAAACCTAGATTTTCATGATTGGTGTACCTAAATACACAATTAGGATAGTATTCTCATGTACTATATTAGAATTTGGTTTTTTATCCCATTTTTAAAAGCTTGCTTTTTATTTATCAGTATTACTCTTGTGTTCTGTTATTTTGCTTTTGTTTTACTACCCTTCCCCCCCCCAAATTGTAGAAAAGTTAGTTTTGTATTTTTCCTTTAGAGGTAAATTTTTTCATTCAGTGCCCAGCATAGTACATAGTAACTATTCAGTAAATAATTATTAATTTAATGGGGAGAAAAAATCATGTTATCTTATGAAAGGCAATACATTTAATTAAACAAATTAATTTTTCACTATTAATCATCTATTAGACAGATAATACTGCGTTTTATATAAGATATCCACATAAGGACCTCACTGAGAAGCTGACATTTTAATTAGGTTCTGAAGGAAATAAAAGAGCAACCATGTGGGTATTTGGGGCAAAAACATTCCAGGCAGAGGGAACAGCAAGTGCAGAGGCCCTAAGGTAGGAGCATGCCTGGTGTGTTTGAGGACTAGTGAGGAGGTCAGTGTGACTGGACCGGAGTCCATTAGGAAGAGAATATAGGAGATAAGTTCAGAGATATAACGGGCCAAATCATATTGGGCCTTATAGGACATAGTAAGAACTTAGGATTTGTAGGGGAGGGTAAATTTTACTTCTGCCTTTTTAGGGCTTTTGGCAGGCCTGAAAATTAAATTGATGTAAGACAGATTATAGGAGAAGAGCATTCAAATTTATTTAAGTTTTACTTGACTTGGGAGCCTTCATAAAGAAATGACCCAAGGATGTAGTTAGAGTTGAACACTTGTGTACTAAATTGGACAAAGAGTAGTAAATGTGAAGACGTGACAAGGCGCAAAGGGACTTGGGCTAGGGTAGTTAACTGGCTGGAGGAGTGAGGAGGAAGATGAGGGTTAGTTCGACAAGGGTTGTTTGTACAAATTTCCCTTGGCCTCAACTTCTTGTCCTTGATGATAAGAATGTTATTTTCCTTCCAGTAGAGGGAGGGCATGTTACATATGGGAGTTTTATCTCCTGTCTTTGGGAAGAAAAAGGAGAGGGTCAGAGTGCCCTTCTTACACCTGTTGTTTTTTAAAATGCCTTTTAGCTCAATATAATACTTATGCAAAATGGCAAAGCAGGGACATGATCTCACCTGTCTAATAGGAAGAGTCCTGCTTCTGGTTAAGAATAGACAGAAGGGAATAATGAGGACACTAGTTAGGAGACTTTTAGAATAACACAAGTGAGAGATGATTGTGGTTCAATGGTGGCAACAGAGATGTGAGAAGTGACCAGATTCTGGATACATTCTGAAAGTCTTGATGATAGGGTTTGTCGACCAAAAAGTTAGGAGATAGGAGAGAAAGAAAAGGATCAGTGATGATGCCAAGGTTTTTGGCCTAAAAAGCTGGCAAGATAAAGTTGCTGACATCTGAGATGGGAAAGACTGGGCAGAGCAGGTTGTTGTGGAGGATTTACCAAGGTAAGTTTGAGATGCTATGGACATCTAAATAGAGTTGGTGAGTCTGGAGTTATAAATTTGAGTGTAACTAACATATGCTAGTATTAAAGCCATGAACTTGACTGAGATCACTCTAGGAGTGAGTATAGATGGAAAAAGAGTCCAAGCACTGAGCCTTGGAACTTGGCATGAAAAGGTATGATGGTAAATGTCTTTGTACTTAGAATGAACTTCTTCAGAACCACAGTGCAAACCTGGCCAAATATTTTAGAAGTTATAAATCTGAAGCAGACCGTGTATTTTCCTGGAATAAATGGACTTAATTAAAGCAAAAGTTTAAAAATAGATATGCTAAATATTATCGTTCCCAACTTCTCTCCTGCAATTACTGGGAAACCATAGGAGAGAGTGGCTGGGG